TCTCAATGTTATCCACAATTTGTTAATGATCCACACAATCAAATGCTTTTGCATAGTCAATAAAACACAAGTAAACATCTTTCTAGTATTCTTTGAGCCAAGATTCATCTGACATCAACAATGATATCCTTCGTTCCATGTCTTCTTCTGAATCCAGCTTGCATTTCTGGGAAGTTCTCTATCAATATACTGCTGGAACCATTTTTGAATTCTCTTCAGTAAGATTTTACTTGCATGTGATCTTAATGATATTGTTCAATAATTTTCATATTCTGTGGGATCACCTTTCTTTGGAATGGGTACAAATATGGATCTTTTCCAGTCAGTTGGTAGGTTGCTGTCTTCCAAATCTCTTGGCACACCCAAGTGAGTGCCTCCAGTATGGCATCCGTTTGTTGAAACATCTCAGTGTGTATTCTGTCAATTCCTAGAGCCTTGTTCTTTGCCAATTCTTTCAGTGCAGCTTCGACCTCTTCCTTCAATACCATTGGTTCTTGAACATATGCCCCCTCCTGAAATGGCTGAAGATTGACCAGTTCTTTTTTGTACAGTGACTCTGTGTATTCCTTCCAACTTCTTTTGATGCTTCCTGCATCATTCAATATTTTGCCCATTGAATCTTTCAGTATTGCAACTTGAGGCTTAATTTTTTCCTGTTTTTTCAGCTTGATAAATGCTGAGCATGTTCTTCCCTTTTGGTTTCCTAACTCCAGGTCTAGTAGAAAATACAAATAATACAACAGGATATGGAATGAAAAGTTTCTTTCCCATTCTTACCTTCCAGTTCTTTTCATATTTCTTGTGTGTTTCCTAAGACAGTCAATATATGCAACCATAGATCTGTTTCCATATTATTTTTGGACAGTTAACGTGCCAAACAAGGTGTTCTGTACATTTTTTCACTTAACACTATAGCTTGGAGATCCTATCACTTCATAGACATTTTTCTTGAAAAAGTGCAGTGATATTGTATGTATACCTTAATTTCTCTAGCAATTTCTTGTCTGGATTATTTCTGAAATTTTACTCTGGCAAATGCTGCTGCAGCATGAAATCTCTGCACAAATGGATTTGAGCAGGGGTGGGAGATGATCTTTTCAAATTCTTAGAGGTGAGAATTCCTAGATCAAAGGCTAGGTAGATTTTATATTTTAATATAAACTGCCCCTTAAGACACAGGCAATAGATTTAGTCTTCCCAGCAACAACATAGCTCCCGTTACCAATGTTAGCCCATCTACACCACCAGACTGAGTGTTCTCTGAGGGCAAGTACCTTGTTGCTGTTAACTGCCAGTTGATTCTGGCTCATGGTGACTCCATGTGAGCGAGAGTGAAACTCCATAGGGTTTCTAAGTATGTTCTGAGGCACTTCTGGGTGAGTTCCAACTTCCAACAGGGTGTTGGAATGGTTAGGGTGTCTAACCATTTGCGCCACTCAGGGACTCCTTATGGTATTCACACTTGAAATGCTCCTCAGTAAATATTTAAATGAATTATTATTATTATTTAAATTTCGCAGTGCCAACTCCAGGACTTGGTATATAGCAGCCCCAGCAAATGTCTATCCTCAATGATTATATTTCCCAGAACTTAAATGAAGTTTATTAAATGCCAGGAACTGCAATAAATGGTTTAAGAAACCCTGGTGGCACAGTGGTTAAGCCCTGGGCTGCTAACCTAAAGTGGTTTGAACCCACCACCAGCTCTGCTGGTGAGAGATGTGTCAGTCCGCTCCCGTAAAGATTTGTTGTTGTTGTTATATGCCGTCAAGTCGGACCGACTCATAGCGACCCCTCCTTGGGTTTCCGAGGCAGTATCACTACGGAAGTAGGTTGCCCCATCTTCCTTCCAAGGAGTGCCTGGTGGGTTTGAACCACCAGCCTTCTGGTTAGCAGTCAAGTGCTTTAGGCACTAGGGCTATCAGAGCTGCTCGGTAAAGATTTAGAGCCTTGGAAACCCTGTGGGGCAATTCTGTCCTACAGGGTTGCTAAGAGTCTTAATACACTTCACGGCAGCGGTTTTTGTGCGAAGAGGTTTACCTTGTCCCCGCCCCCTTCACGCTCACTTTCTCCTCCGCTGGGAGTGGGCGTAACTAAGGCTGTCTTTTTTGTGTATTCTTTGGTCGAACGCTAGGCCCTTTACTGCAGAGTCCCGCTCAAGCCACGCCCCCACGTAGTCCACAAGAAGGCTGCCTATTGTAACGCGGGGCGATCGAGGCGGGCTTCTTTCTAGGCTCCAGACGAATTCGACAACGGTCCGGGCGTGGCGCGTGAGCCGGCGTGGGGAGCTACTGCCCAGGTGTCAAGGAGCGGGTGAGAAACGCCTGCAGTCCTTCTCTGCGAACCCGGCGCCCCGCCCCCTCTGCACGCAGGCTGTGTGCGAGCTCGCGCCCGCGCGCGCCCGCCGGAGCCTCGGAGAGGCCAGAGGAGACGGGGCGGGCGGAGGCTGGCCTGTTGAGGTACGAAGGGAGGAGGTACGAGGGGAGGAGCGCGAGCTGCCGCCGCCACCACTGTTGCTACTGCCGAGGGGAGAAGAGCATGTCCGCAACTCGAGCCAAGAAAGTGAAGATGGCCACCAAATCATGCCCCGAATGCGACCAACAGGTGGGCGCCGGGGTTCAGGCGCGCGAGCCGGCGGGGCGGTGGCGCGCGAGCGAAGGGCCGTTGCCTGACTGCCGTTAGCTCTAAAACGCATACCTCGCCGGGGTCTCGGCGGCCGTGCGGGTGGGTCGGCCCTGGGGTGATTAGTGAGGTAGTCTGGAGCGAGTCTGGCTGAGCCGAGGGTTGCCCAGGAAACGCCACGGGCCGCAACCCAGCCGGTGTCCACTTGGTGGCGGCCAGACGGGCAAGTCCCTCCTTCCTGTGACCCAGCTGCGTGGAACCTCCCCGAGTCGCCTCGCCTGCCCTGGGTGACACTGGCGGGAGCCTGGGGGCAGCGGCTCAAGTTGACGAGTACGGTCCCTTCTAGCCCCCTCTGCCCCGAAACGAATGCCTGATGTGTTCTAGATCAAGGCCGGGCCCCTGGCCCGGAAAACCCATTCCTACCGTGCAGGGTTGCTTTGTTCGATTTCATGTGTGCAGTGGACCCCCACCAACTGTCTCCACCCGGTTTCCCACCAGAGGAGGTTTAAATGCAGTAAGAAAGGGCCGCAGATATGATTTAAAGTTTTGGTGAATTTGGAAGTCTTTTTCAAAAATGAATTTATTATATTTATGTAACTATGTTTGTTACATTTTTGATAAGTAAATGTAAACCTGTTCTTTACATTGTTTTAAATAAAACATTGACTAACATCCTTATTGAAGCCTCCCCCCACCTTGAAAATATAAATTGGGCATGCTATAAATTTGGCATTCCTGCCTCCAGATCTTTTAAAATATTACATATACTTTCATAAGTATTGAATGACTGCTTTCTACGCTGAATTCATATCTTAGCTGAATTTTTAAAATCCCTTTTACTGTTTCCTATGCTTAAACATAAGATTCCTCAAAGAACAGACATTTTTCTAAACCTTAGGATGCATTGAGCTAAAACTCCCTCAATTAAAACCATTCCTAAGGCCCTCTTTTATGCCAACATACAGATCTGAGTGCTTTTCCTTTTACATTGTGTGAATTTTCTTTTCAAAATGACTACCTCTGCCTCCCCCCCCCCTTTTTTTTAAAAATTAAGAGTCATTTGAAATGACTGTGGAGACTTTTTTTTAATAAGCTAACTGTAATGGGTTCTTTAGGGAGCAATCTTGTGGGTTGCCCAAATCTGTTACATGTTTTTATTGAATATCTTTTATGGTCAGTGGTACATTTTGTGGATCAGAGAAATATTGTACAAGGAGCATATGGTTAATAAACTACCCTACAGGATGCAGTATTAAAACAATTTACTCATGTTTTCCAAAGTAAAGAGTTATTTCCATTCTAGTTATTAAATTTATCAAATCCTGACAAAATGGTCTTTGAGATTTGTCTTTTTTTTTTGTGGGAGATTATTACAATATTTAAATCATTTCCATTTGTTGTAGTTAATTGTGTAGGAGTATAAGGTTTATATGGTATGCATTATGCATTCCAGTTTCTGGAGGGCACAAGTCATTGCAAATTCTGACCTTATTTTACTTGGCATAAAATAACCTTTCAGGAAAAAAAAAAACAAAACCTGTTTTTAATATCCTGGTTAAAGAAAGAGAAATGGAAAATAAACTTGTAGAAGTTCCTACAACTGTTCAACCAGACATTATGAGCATTTTATTTGGAAAGATTGTATTAATTTTGTTACACGCACATACACATTCTTTTATATAAAATTAGCTAATACATAATTTTAATGTTGCTTTGTTTTTTATTCTAAATGCTTAAGGTAATATGACATATGTTGTTGTTATGTGCCCTCAAGTTGGACTCAACTCATAGCAACCCCTCCTTGGGTTTCCGAGGCAGTATCACTACAGAAGTAGATTGCCCCATCTGCCTTCCAAGGAGTGGCTGGTGGGTTTGAACTGCCAGCCTTCTGGTTAACAGTCAAGTGCCTTAGGCATTATGCTACCAAAGCTCCCAATATGGCATATAAGAAAACTAATTGATATTTTGGTAATTTTTAAAAGTGAATTTTCTTTTAGTAAGAATAACTGAAGTTTAGTAAGAATAACTGAAGAAAATAGTAGATTCATTTTATAGTGTAATTTTAGTTTTCTCATTACTTAAAGCTACAAGCTGCTTTTAGTTGTAATCTGGAAAAGTTGTAATCCAGAAAGACTTTTTAAAAAATGTATTGTGCCTGTATATATAACAAAGTTTTGTCATTTTAACCCTTTGTAAGTGCACAATTCAGTGACATTAGTTATGTTCGCTGTTTTGCAACCATCACCACTATGTCCAAAAGTTTTTCATCACCAAATACAGAAACCCAGTCCCTGTTAAGTAATCATTCCCCATTCTTTCATCCCTCAGCCCCTCATAACTTTTGTCTCTGTGCCTTTGCCAATTTTAGATTTTTTGTGTAAGTGGCATCATATAATATTTGTCCTTCTGTATAGAAAGACATTTTTTTTGACAACTTATTAAAATACTGTAATTTTAAATTGCCTGAAGAGTATTAAATTAGGATTTAGTTACAGTTTTATTCATAAATGTGGAATTTGAAGTTTGAGACCTTTCCCCAGTTGAATAGATATAATATGCTCTGTGTGTGTGTGTGTGTGTGTGTATATGCATGCATGCATGCATGTGTGTTGTTTAGTTTAAAAACATGGGTACAAAGACCAGCATACAAGAAAGTTATAGCATCTCTTTTGCAGGAGTTTATTGAAAATGTAGTTTCAAAACATCTAAACCGTAATATTTTTCATTTTCAATTTCATATCCATTAACCACTGAAAATTTACTGTGTGTAGTATTCATGTTCTTGTCAGTTTCTGGTATCTTATGTATATTTTGCCTTAAATTTTCTTAGCAGATTTTTTTGTTTCTTTTTCATTTAAAAGTTTTATGGGCCATATAACAAACACTTCTGCTATGAGTGAGTTTGGTTCTGTTAAGTAGGAAAGAATATAAATAGTTTCTGTATAAAGTGGTTATTTTAGAGCCTTTTAAATATAGGACCAGGGTTATTTCACTGCAGCTTTTTTCTGATTTTACTTGTAAAACATAGAAGCATTTTAAATTCACTTTTTAAGGAATGAATTGATGTAGTACACCCATAATAAACCTCAGTAACAGTACTTTGGATTTATTTTTTCTTTTTAAAATTCTAAAAGTATAAAATTAGAACTCTTCATTGCTACTCTCTTTAGCATTATTAACTGAAATTTGAAGGAAGTTTAGGGTGTTTGTTTAAAATAAAAATTGTAATTAAGAGATTAATATTACTAAGTTGTCTAATTTATTTCATAGTTGTTTTTATAGGATTTGGATTGTTGTGGTGTCCCCTTCTCTTTCGTTTTTACTTTCCATTATAAAAACAACCTCTAGAATGAATTAGCTCAGACACCTGAATGTTTCTTGAGCCTAAAACACTTACAGTTAAGGGATGAAAATCACTCTGTCAGTTGAATTAGTCATTGTGGATACTGATTTCAAAGCCAAATATGGCTTTCTCATCTAACTGCAGCATTATCTGTTAGCTCTGGATATGATGCTATAATTTTCTTGTATATAAGACAGAAACCTATTATTTTAAATGTATTGCGTTTCAATAGCAGGAAGAAAATACTTGCTAAGTAACAAAGGAACTGTTGAATATGAACATTGTGTTTTGGATAGCATTAATTTTAAAACAATTTATATTACTGTCAATGTCCTTAATGATATGTTTAGGTGTAAAGGAAATGAGTCAGTACCTTTGAGCTTGGTTTTCTGTGAAGATGTGAAATTAAAAAACAAATAAACATCTATTTGTAGCAGATTTTACACTATTAAACATACACACAATGTTATATTTTCATATTTGAAGGAACCATTTGTGTTATTGGACCATATTTGGAGTTAAATTATTTATATAGGATTCATTGTTTTCTTAAATACAAACTAGAGATCTTTTGTACAATATTTTTATGCAAAGGAGACAAACTCTTCTGCCAAAATTTCAATTAGCTTAATTAGACCAAGTATTTATATACTAGGATATGAAGCATTTTGTACATACATGGATAAAAAGCTTTATAATTATAACTAAACTTTTATACAAGCAGAACAATAGGCAAATGGAATTTATTTTACAAAGGGAACTGCAATTTTCTGACTATAATTATTCTGTGAGTACTATTTTGTTGAGATTAATTTCTGGCTTTTGGTGCTTATGTCTTAATTCCATGGATCATTAAGGTTAGTATTAGTGAAATGATTATGGAGGAAAATGTCTTTAAATTTTTCCAATGACTTTCAATAAATTTGCATTTAAAAAATACATTTGAGCTCATGGACTGCTTGAAACAGAGAACCGATACCTAAAAAAAATCCCTTTGCCATTGAGTCAATTCCAACTCACAGCAATCCTATAGTCAGAGTAGAATCCCACAGGGTTTCCAAGGCTATATATCTTTACAGAAGCAGTGAGCCACATTTTTCTCTCATGGTGTGGCTAGTAGGTTTAAACTGGCAAACTGTTGGCAGCTGAGTGCTTTAACCATTGTGCCATCAGGGCTCCTTTGAAACAGAATGGAGCTGTATATATTTTATAGATGAGGAAACAGATGTCTGAAGAGCTTGAATGTTTTATCCAACGTTATTCCTAAAACTGAGACCAAAAGAACCTAGATCTGAAAAACTTTCTTTTACATTCTCTTTTGGTTGTATTATACTTTTGCCCCTCTGATTGTTGGTAACTAGTCTTTTTCTGTCGGTGGTATTGGGCATCTCCCCTTCTCATGCTAGAGCCTGGAGATCATTTTCCCAAATTGTCCAGCTTTATCCCCAGTGGTCAGTTCAGGCTTAAGCCTTGTTTTCCTCTGTTGGAAATGTCTGTCAAATTACCTTTTCTCTGTTTCCATTTTCTTTTTCCTTTTCTTTTATTGTGATTTGGGTGAAAATTTACAGAGCAAATTCACTTTCCATACAGCAGTTCACATGCACTTTGTCTCATGACACTGACTACAACAGCCCCCTCCCACTTCCTCCCGACAGTTACCTCTTCCTGTGTCCATCCCTTCATGCACTCCCGCCCGTCTCCCTGTGCATACACAGCCTTTCTTTCTCCCATGATTGTTCTCTCAAAGGAGTGTATCTACCCTCAGGTAAATGTTCAACTCATATGCCTATCTTTTGTTGGGCTGGAAGCCTCAGGTGTGGGTTCAATTCCAGACCTCAAAAGTAGCTAGGGACCATAGTCTCAGTGGTTCCACCAGGCTCTATCAGACCAGCAAAACTGTCCCTCCCTATTTTTCCCCCCAAATGATTTTGAGTTTTGTTCCACATTGTTCTCTGTCTTTATCCATGGTCTCCTACATAGATCCACCCCCCCAGGGGTTGACAGTGGTAGCCGGGCACCATCTAGCTCTTCTGGTCTTATAGTCATATAGGCTGCAGATCGCATGGTGTACCAGTCGCTAGGACTAATTGTTTCCATGAGTCTTTGGTTTTCTTCATTCTTCTTTGCTCTGAACGAGGAGCGACCCATGTTACATCTAAATGACTGTTTGCAAGCTTTTAAGATCCCAGTCGCTACTCGCCAGAGTAGGAGGTAGAACAATGTTTTGTGTAGTATGTTATGCCAGTTGAACTTGATGTCCCCTGACTATGGTCCCAAGCCCACAGGTTCAACTCCTTGGTCCCTCTGGGTAGCTGGCTGTGCCTAAGAAGTGACTGCAACCTTGTCCCTTGTCAGCTCTACTATACACCTGGGAATTCTTACAGAATATACAAATACACTTGCAGGACCACCGTCTGCCAACTCTATACATGGTCTTGGGTACACTCCCCGCTTCATAGACATACCTAATAGTTCAGCCTGTCCACCCGTCTATCCACCCATATACCCAGGTTTGCCTTCACTAACAACGCAGTACTGTTTGGGCAAAAGGGTTCATCTTTGTTGTCTGTGCCTCCCATGTACCTCTCTCTGTCTTCCTCTTCCTCAGTGCCACCATGTTGATCACTCACATTTGGTACATTGCCCTTCTCTTCACCCAAATCAATACTTATCTCTACCTATCTAACAGTGTTCCCTACCCTACCCTCCTGCTCCTGGTAACCAACAGAGAAAAAATTTCCTTCCATATGTAAACTGTTCCTTGACTTTTACCATAATGGACTAATACAATATTTGTCCTTCTGTGATTGACTTATTTCACTCTGGTAGCATAGTGCCTAAGGTACTTGACTGCTAACCAGAAGGCTGGAGGTTCAAACCCACCAGCCACTCCTCGGAAGGAAGATGGGGCAATCTACGTCCGTAGTGATACTGCCTTGGAAACCCAAGGAAAGGTTGCTATGAGTCAGTTCCAACTTGATGGCACATAACAACAACAACGTCCTCCAAGTTCTTCCACGTTATGCGGTGTTTTGCAGATTCTAGGTTATTCTTTAGGGTTGCAAAGTATTACATTGTGTGTATGTACCATAGTTTGGTTATCCATTCCTCAGTTGATGGACACCTAGGTTGTTTCCATCTTTTGGCTATTGTAAATAGTGCTGCAGTGAATGGGTGTGCATATGTCTGTTCTTGTCATGGCTCTCACTTCTTTAGAATATATACCTAGTTAAAGAATGGCTGGGTCAAATGGTATTTCTAATTCTAGCTTTCTGAGGAATCGCCATAGTGCTTTCCACAGTGGTTGTACCATTTTACAGTCCCACTAGCAGTGTACGAGTGTCCCAATCTCTCCGCATCCTTGCCAGCATTTGTTATTTTGTGTTTTGTTGAACTTTGGTGCTAGTGCTGGAGCAAGATGTTTTATTTTGCATCTCTCTAATGGCTAATGATCGTGAGCATTTCTTCATATGTTTGTTGGCCACCTGATGAACCTTGGTGAAGTGTCTATTTGTGTCTTTTGCCCATTTTTTAATTGAATTTTTTGTCTTTTTGTTATTGAGGTGTTGGAGTTTTCTATAAATTCTGGAGATAAATCCCTTGTCAGATATGTCATTGCCAAATATTTTTTCCCAATCTGTAGGTTCTCGTTTGACTCTTTTGGAGAAGTCTTTGGAAGCACATAAAAATTTAATTTTTAGAAAGTCCCATTCATCTAGTTTCTCTTCTGCTTTTGTGTATTTTAGGTTATGCTTTATAGTCTATTTATGCCATATATTAGGGCCCCTAAATTTGCCCCTGGTTTTTCCTTGAGGAACTCTATAGCTTTAGGTGTCACATTTAAGTCTTTGATCCATCTGGAGGTAGTTTTTGTGTATGGTGTGAGGTACAGATCTTGCTTCATTTTTCTGCAAATGGATCTCCCGTTTTTGCCAGCACCATTTATTAAACAAACTTTCTCTTCCCCATTGAATGGATTTTGGCCCTTTGTCAAAGATCAGCTGACCATAGGTCGATGGATCTATTTCATTTCTGTGCCACTGGTCTATGTGTCTGTCATTATACCAGTACCAGGCAGTTTTGACTACTGTGACTGTATAGTAGCTTTTGAGATCCAGCAGTGTGAGACCTCCTACTTTGTTCTTCAATAGTGCTTTGCTTATCCGAGGTCTCTTTCCTTTCCATATAAAGTTAGTGATTTGTTTTTCTGTATCTTTAAAAATCTATTTCCGTTTTCACTGTTCCAGTTGGGCCCTTTTAATCTACTGCTGGTAATACTTCAGTGGCTTCCTAACCAATCATTCTTTCCAATTTTGTCCTATGTCAAGCTAACATTTTAGGAAATGCTACTTTTTTTTCCCCCATCCTTCCCCTGCCTCTGACCCTATTAAAGTTTTCTATTGATCATAAACATCAACACATATTTATCATGTATTTATGGTATGCATGCTATTATTGAGCACTCGGGAAAAAGTTTGAAGATGTATAGGATGTGATACCTGCCTCAGATAAATTGTTATGAGGAAGTTGGCGTTTAAGTACTTCAAGCAGTTTATCACTAAGTTGAAGAGACCATATAAACATTAAGAGATTTAACAATAGAAAACTGGTAATAATATATATATATTTTTTTTACAGGTTCCTGTTGCATGTAAATCGTGCCCCTGTGGTTACATATTTATTAGCAGAAAACTTTTAAATGCAAAACATTCAGAGAAATCACCATCTTCTACAGGTAATTTGTGAGAGTTTACTAAACTTCTAGCTTTTTGATATAAAAGTTTTAATTTTTTTTGTGAATTTATTATTTCCATTTTTTTCTAGTGAAGTTGAAACTTAAAAATCTATTGAAGTATGTCTTTGGCTTTTATTAGGTATTGTAAATTTGACACTGGTTTATTACATTTAAATGTTACCTCCTTTACCAAGCTCACAAAGCTTATAATAATTTATTTTTTTGGAGGATAGGGTGCCACTGAAGGGTTTTAAGCAAGGGTGTATGTAACCTGATCTTATCCTTGTTTTATATTTTAATATAGCTTTGTTAAGATGTAATTGACATATAATAAACTGCACATATTTTAAATATACAGTTTGGTAAGTTCACCACAGTCAAAGTAAAGAGCCTGCCTATTCAATATCCACAAAAATTTCCTCTTACCCTTTTGTAATCCCTCCTTCCTGCCACCCTCATGCCAGAGAACTACTGCTCTGATTTTTGTCTTCTTCTAGAACTTTATATAAATGGAATAATGTATGTCTTCTTTTTTTGTCTGAATTCTTTGAGCATAATTGTTTGAGATTCATTCATGTTATATGTATCAATAATATTCATTCTTTTTTATTGCTTAGTAGTAGTATCTGTTGTATATCTACACCACAATTTATTTATCCGTTCACCTGTTGATAGATATGATAGCATCTCTAACGATGCTAGTAAAACATTTTTAAAGGTTTTTATTTTTAAACTAGTGGCTGTGGAAAAATACAACTTGATTTTGGTATAAAAACAACTTTTAGATGTGTTGATTATTTTTCACAGTTCCGTGATTCAGTATACCTAAAAAAATTGCTAGTTTTACTTTGTTTAAATTTGTCGCTCTCCCATTAATGTAGATGTGTTGAATTTATTCAATGGATATGTTCATGAAAAGATGACATTTTTTATTCTTTGATAAAATCAGAACTTCATATAGTATTGATCCCAAAATAAGAGTAGATCATTTACAAATATTTCTTGCTATAAGCCAATCACTATTCTAAACCTAAAGGCCCCTGGATGTTGCAAATGGTTTATGCTTGGCTGCTAACTGAAAGGCTTGCCTTTTGAATCCATCTAGCGGTGCTGTGGAAGAATGGCCTGGTGATCTGTTTCCATTAGATTGTTGTTGTTGTTGTTGTTGTTTGCCATCTAGTCGGCCCCGACTCATAGCGACCCCTCTTTGGGTTTCTGAGGCAGTATCACTATGGAAGTAGAAATGCCCAACCTTCCTTCTGAGGAGTGGCTGGTGGGTTTGAACCGACAGCCTTCTGGTTAGCAGTCAAGTGCCTTAGCCACTATGCTACCAGAGATTACAGCAGTTGAAAACCCTATGGAGCAAAGTTCTGTTCTGAAACACATGAGGTCACCATGAGTCGGAATTGACTCCACACAATGGATTTGGTTTATTGCTTTATTCTAAACTTTGGTCATAAAGCAGTGAATCTAGTACCAAGATAGGTTCACTGCTGTCCTGGAGCTTACATTCTGGTTGGGAGAAGATAAACAATGAACCAATAAACAGAGAAAATGTCAATTTGTGATAAATGCTTTGTTATGTAAATGCAACCACTGCCCTGGAGTGGATCCAACTTATAGCGACCCCTCCTTGGGTTTCCGAGGTGGTATTGCTACAGAAGTAGATTGCCCAACCTTCCTTCTGAGGAGTAGCTGGCTGGTGGATTTGAACCCCAGCCTTCTGGTAAGCAGTCAGATGCCTTAGGCACTGCACCACCAGAGCTCCCAAATTAAAATATGGTGCTGTCCTAGCATGTGACTGGAAGGCTCCTTTCAATTGGATTGTTAACGAAGGCCTCCCTGAGGAGGTGACATTTAAGCTGAGGGCTTGATAGGAAAATGGAGTAAACCATGAAAAGATTAGAAAGAAGAATTCTTGGCTGATGAGATAGTAAATGCAGAAGTTCTGGGGCTGGAAAAAGCTTGGCATATTTTAGGAACAAAAAGACCAGTGTGAGTTGAAGGGTAGCCAGTAAGAGGAGAAGCATATGGGAGATGAGGTCAGATGGATAGGCAGGGACCAGATTATATAGGGCTTTGTAAACCAGAGTAACAGTTTAGTGTTTTCTTCTTAAGATGTGATGTGGGATAGGGAAAAGGGGAATGGAATACTCTGATTAGGATTTTAGCTCATTCTGGCTACTGTGTAGAGAGTTGTTTACAGAGGTACAACAGCGGAAGTGGGCTCTTGCCGTTAGGATAACTGAAAGAAGATGATGATTTAGAAAAAGAATGGTTATAGTAGTAGGTGATTCAATAATTAATTATACCTGTGAGAGGTCTGTTATCTAGGTCTCTTTAGAAGTGGTAAGAAAGCTGTTTAATTCCTTTTCTGCTTCTGTTCAGTTTATTCCCTTTTCATCATGAGAACGGACTTAATCCATTGGTTCTTAAAGGCAGTTGCTGGATTGGCTATATATTAGTCATCCAGACAGCTTGTTAAAAATGGATTCTTAGCTCTTATTCTCTGAGAGTTTGATTCAGATATGGGAACCCTGGAATAAAGATTGATTAAGTAGACATTTTGGAGTGACGTCAGCTCAGTGCTAAGTCCCCAAAGATGAATAAAGACATGGTTTTTATCCTTAATGGGACAAAGTGTTACGGTTTATTTTGTTAATTCAGCAGATATTTATTGAACCTGTTCCTGTTACCAGTGATTCAGGTGAGAAACAAGGTAAGGAAGAAACTGAGCAAAGTTAGAGAGGAGGGATAGATACTACAAGACAAGTGTTAAGGAGTCAGAACAAGTTCAACCAGAGAAAAGAATTTAGAATGACTCACAGATTTCTGACTTGGATTACTGGTTAGAAAGGGAATATAATAGTGTTTTTTTTTTTTTTTTAATGTTATTTTACTTTGTTGTTGTTGAGAATATACAGAGCAAAACATACACCAGTTCAACAGTTTCTTCACGTACAATTCATTGACACTGATTATATTCTTCAAGTTGTGCAACCATTCTCACCCTCTTTTTCTGAGTTGCTTCTTCCCCATTAACACAAACTCACTGCCCCCAAGGTTCCTATCTAATCTTTCCAGTTGCTGTTGACAATTTGATCCCATAGAGATAGTTCTTAAAAGAGCATGATGCTCAAGGCAGACCTTTTTTTAAAATTTTAACTAGTTAAGCTAAACTATTATTTGGTTTTAAGAAGACTTCAGGGTATATTTTTAGTTTAAGTTTTAAAGATTATCTCAGGGCAGTAGTTTTAAGGGTTCATCCAGCCTTCATGGCTCCAGGAAGTCTGGAGTCCGTGACATTTTGCAACTATATTCTCCATTTCCCTTCTTTTCATCAGGATTCTTGTATAGAATCTTTGATCAGAATGTTCAGAAATGGTAGGCAGGCACCATCCCGTTCTTCTGGTGTCATGGCAAAGGAGGCAGTTGTTCGTGGAGGCAATTTGCCAAACTTTCCATTTCTTCCTCCTATTCCTGATGCTCCTTCCTCTGTTGTCCTGGGAGAATGGAGACCAATTATTGTATGTTGTATGGCCTCTTGCAAGCTTTTAAGACCCCAGGCATTACACATTGAACTAGGAAGTAGAACAGAGGCACTAAACATGTTATTAAGCCAATTAACTGGGATGTCCCATGAAACCATGACCCTGAACCTCCAAACCAACAAACCAAATCCCATGAGGTTTTTGGTTGTACATAAGCAGCCTCAGTAACTATCCTTTCTTTTTCTTTTTTGGTCATTGTAAACATATATACCACACAACTTTTAACAATTCAGTTTTTTAAAGGTGTACAACTTACTGACAGCAATTAAAATAATCACTGTGCAACCCTGCACTTAATCAACATACCTCCATCACTGTGAACCCCTCCCTTCCTTCCTTCATCCTGCCCCTGATAACCACTAATAAAGTTTCTTGTCTATACATTTGTCTTTTCTTGAGAAAACAAGGTCAACAAACAAAAATCAGTTGAATTTCTCTACACCAGCAATGAGAAATCTGAAAGGGAAAATGCAGAAACAATTCCATTTACAATAACATCTAAGAGTAAAACACTAGGGATAAATCCAGGATATGAGGGATTTATACAGTGAAAACAATAAAATACTACTGCAAGATTAAAGGAGACAAATAAATGGAAAGATGTTCCATGTTCATGGATTGGGAGAGTTAATATTGTTAAGGTGTCAGTATTACCCTAAGTGATATTTAGATTCAATGCAATCCTGATCAAAATCCCAGCAGTCTTCTTTACATAAATAAAAAACCTAATCCTCAACTTTATATGGAATGGCAATAGGTTGTGAATAGATAAAGTAATGTTGAAAGAGAAGAACAAAGTAGGAGGACTCACACTTCTTGATTTTAAACTGTAGTGTACAGCAACAGAAGCTCTGGTAGCAAAGTGATTAAAACATTTGGCTGCTAATCAGAAGGTTGGCGATTCAAACCTACCAGCCACTCCACAGGAGAAAGATGAGGCAGTCTGCTTCTGTAAAGATTTACAGCCTTGGAAACCTTGTGGGTCAGTTCATCTCTGTTCTATAAGTTCTCTGTAAGTTGGAATTCATTTGATGGGAAGGCAGTGGTTTTTATTTTTTTGGTATACAACTACAGTATCAAAACAAAACAGCCTGGTACTGGTATAACAATAGACATAGACCAATGGACTGGAACTAAGAGTCCAAATATACACCCATACATCTGTGGTCACCTGTTTTTTGACAAGGGTGGTAAGTCCATTTGATGAGGAAAGAAGAGTCTTTTCAATAGATAGTGCTGGGAAGATAGGATTTCCACATGCAGGAAATGAAATAGGATCTATCCCTCACATCATACACAAAAACAAAGAAATGGATTAAGGACCTAAATGTGCAAACTATAACTATGAAATTCTTAGGAGGAGAAGCAGTGCTGTCAGGCCTAGCTTTTAACAATGCATTATCCAATATAATAACAGATGCACAATCAGCAAAAGAAAATAAATAGATC